TGTACATTTGCTTCTTCCCCAGAAACAAGTAACCGATGGGCACAGCCAGACAGTGCCCCCATAAGTGTGCCTGCAGACATTCGCTTCTCCATCTGGATCTCCTTCTTTGAGATCTACAATGAACTGCTTTATGATCTGTTAGAACCACCTAACCAACAGCGCAAGAGGCAGATTCTGCGGCTATATGAGGATCAGAATGGCAATCCCTACGTGAAAGGTATGGGAAAGCAGGGAGGCTGACATGAACCCTGGACAGGACTTGGACAGAGACTAAGAAAAGAGTTAGGTACTCCCATCTTATGTATGCCCTTCTCTTGCCCTCAGATCTCAACTGGATTCATGTTCAGGATGCTGAGGAGGCCTTGAAACTCCTAAAAGTGGGTCGTAAAAACCAGAGCTTTGCCAGCACGCACCTGAACCAGAACTCCAGCCGCAGGTTAGTCGGTTGTGAGAGCCAGCCTTTGTTCTATATTAATCCTCCAGTTGGTCATGGAAGATGTGTAATGACCTTTTTCTTTTTCTTAACTTCTAGTCACAGCATCTTCTCCATTCGGATCCTGCACCTTCAAGGGGAAGAGGATATAGTCCCCAAGATCAGCGAGTAAGATTTTCCATTTAGAAATTTGGACTTCTTGGCCATAAATGGTAGTCGGGGAGGAGGCAAGGGAGGTGCTCAGAGGAATTACTTCTGATAGATTCTCCTTCCTTAGGTAGAGATTCTTGGTGGGTCTTCCCCTCCTCACAAGTATAGGAAGGGCTGGAAGGTTCATTATATGTAGGTCCTTATGTCAGATCCTGTCCTCCTTTCAAGGTTGTCACTCTGTGATCTGGCTGGCTCAGAACGCTGCAAAGATCAGAAGAGTGGTGAGCGGCTGAAGGAAGCAGGAAACATTAACACTTCTCTGCACACCCTGGGCCGCTGTATTACTGCCCTGCGCCAAAACCAGCAGAACAGGTGAGATTTTGACTGCAATCCATGGGCTTGGATGGTCTGGAGCTCTGCAATTTACTAAGAAACTTCCTGGTCACCACTAGGGATGGTGCTAGAATACCCCAAGGGCTGGAGTTCTGCTTACGGCTCTACTCTTCTGATTCCCTGCCAGGTCAAAGCAGAACCTGATTCCCTTCCGCGACAGCAAGTTGACTCGAGTGTTTCAAGGCTTCTTCACAGGCCGAGGCCGCTCCTGCATGATTGTCAATGTGAATCCCTGTGCATCTACTTATGATGAGACCCTTCACGTGGCCAAGTTTTCAGCCATTGCCAGCCAGGTGAGAAGTTGGTGCCTTTGGAATGGTACCTTTATTTAAGAAAGCTACTAGGGACTAGTCCCAGATTCAATTGAGATATCTTCCCCCTGCTAGCTTGTGCATGCTCCACCTGTACAACTGGGATTCCCGTCGCTACATTCATTCATCAAGGAACACAGTCTGCAGGCATCTCCCAGCTTAGAGATAGGAACTAAGACAGACCCAGGCCTTGATGATGACATTGAAAATGAAGCTGATATCTCCATGTATAGCAAGGAGGTGAGAATACAAGAAAATTTTGTTGCAGCAGCTTGGTGGCTGCACATTTTCCATGCTGCCTTCCAGGTGGGCCTGTGCCTCTTAGGGGCATGGCCGTCTGATTACCTCTGACTTGTGTCCCTTCTAGGATCTCCTACAGGTGGTGGAAGCCATGAAAGCACTGCTTTTGAAAGAACGGCAGGAAAAGTTGCAGCTGGAGATGCAGCTCCGTGATGAAATTTGCAATGAGATGGTGAAGCAGATGCAACAGCGTGAACAGTGGTGCAGGTACCAGCTGAGTGGCCCTTTTTCATCAGTCACCTGGACCAGAGGGTGGGAAGTAGGGACTAGGATGGAGTTGTGCATCAAGATCTGTCCTCCATCCATTAAAATTCTTCAAACTGGTCATAGCTGGACATTAACTTAATGTTAAATTCATTTTAGTTTTATAATTTTTTTAATAGCAAAGGTGGGAATTTATTGAAGAATAAGTTCGTCTGAAATCAAATTAAATATATTATTTAAAAAAAAAAAAAATCTGTCCTCCAGGCTCACTCCTCAGAATCTTCACTCACTTCTGTTTTCTCCTGACAGTGAACATTTGGACACCCAAAAGGAACTCTTAGAGGAAACATATGAAGAGAAATTAAAGATCCTCAAGGAGTCACTGACAAGTTTTTACCAAGAGGAGCTTCAGGTGAGTTGCCCTGAACTAGCCGCAACTGGCTACTCAGATTCCCATCACTACTTGCTTGAGGTTAACAGATTTTATAAACTCTGGTTGGGGTGGGAATATGTAATCCACTTTTCTCTAGTACCTTAATGCTTTGTATGTGCCAGTCTGTTTGGCAAATTGATTAAAGGTCTGGTTGGCCAGAAAATGGTATATGTGCTAACCAAAAAGATTATGTATCAGGGAAGATTTTGGTCATTATGCAGTCATCTGTTTCTGCAGTGTTTGACTGTGGATGGAATTGTGCCTTCTGCTTCCCTCTTAGGAACGGGATGAGAAGATTGAAGAGCTAGAAGCTCGCGTGCAGGAAGCCAGACAACAGCCAATGGCTCATCAACAATCAGGATCTGAATTGTCTGTAAGGCGGTCACAAAGGCTGGCTGCTGCTTCCCACTCCACCCAGCAGCTCCAGGAGGTTACAGCCAAACTGGACCAGTGCAAAGCAGAGCTGAATTCTACCACTGACGGTGAGGAAGGAAAGAGGGTAGTGACTCAAGGCAGAACTATTCTCCAAACTTAGGCCTTCTGGCGCCAGCTCCAACATAATTTACTTATTTTGGCGCTGCATCCCCAGACCTTTCACTCTAGGATGCACAAGGGCTCCCTTTTTATATGTGCTGCAAGCTGTTGTTAACTCAGAGATAAGTCCAAGGTTAGAAAGCCTGCATATTAATGTTTCTTGTTTCTTCCCTCAGAACTGCGGAAGTATCAGAAAATGTTAGAACCACCACCCTCAGCCAAGCCCTTCACCAATGATGTGGACAAGAAGTTAGAGGAGGGCCAGAAGGTGATTACCTTTCTCTGTTACCAAAACTTTTACCTAAGCCCAGCCAGCATGGTTCAGTTGTTGAGCATCTGATACCTATGAACCAGGAGGTCACAGTTCAATTCTCGGTCAGGGCACATGTCTGGGTTGTGGGCTCAATCCCCAATGTGGAACGTGCAGGAGGCAGCCAATCAATGATTCTCATCGTTGATGTTTCTCTCTCTCTCTGAAATCAATAAAAATGTATAAAAAAAAAATCAATCTAAGCCAGAGATATATATTTTAAAAAGAAAAAACTTTTACCTAAGGTGATTTCCAGGACTATATCCCTGGTTCATGTAAGGCTAAGAAGTTTTCTATGTACTGTCCTGGAGGGTGGCTACTTTATTCAGCTGACCTGCCTTTATTTTACTTCTCTTCAAATGGCTACCTGACTCCTCCAGATCATTATCCTAGTTGAACTTGGCCACAATTTATTACTCCTCCTTTTTCAGAATATAAGGTTGCTACGGACAGAGCTTCAGAAACTTGGTGAATCTCTCCAGTCAGCAGAAAGAGCCTGTTGCCATAGCACTGGGGCAGGAAAACTTCGCCAAGCCTTGACTACTTGTGATGACATCTTAATCAAACAGGTTAGGACAGCCCAAATATCCCCTTCTCTCCCATCAGCCCACTCCAGGGTTATGTGAAAAAGGGAATGAGGCGCAAAAGAAAAAGGTCAAGATTTTAAGTATAAAGTACTGTACTAATTTATAGGCATTTTCTGTTGTAACAATCCTAGGGAGGTAAATAGTATCACATTTCATCCAAGATGCTTAGATTGTAAGAAACCATTATTTTATGCACAGGCCTGAAACCTCTAAAACAAAACACTAACAATTAAGCTCTGACATTAAAATACCCACTGTTCAATAAGCTCTGACCTTAAAGAGTTACAGTTGTACTTAGTAGTGGATGGCGTATATCACCTTGCCCTTCTTATTCTCTCATATACCAGATATAAATGTTTTCTATGACTTTACTGATCTTCCTTAGGATCAGACCCTGGCTGAGCTGCAGAACAACATGATGTTGGTAAAAATGGACCTTCGGAAGAAGGCGGCATGCATTGCAGAGCAGTATCATACTGTGCTAAAGCTCCAAGGCCAGGCTTCTACCAAAAAGCGCCTTGGTGCCAACCAGGAAAACCAGCAACCAAACCAAGAGCCCCCAGGGAAGAAACCATTTCTTCGAAATTTACTTCCCCGAACACCCACTTGCCAAAGCTCAACCGACTGCAGCCCTTATGCTCGGATTCTGCGCTCACGGCATACCCCTTTACTCAAATCTGGGCCATTTGGCAAAAAATACTGAGGTTGTGGGGAAGAAGAGAGCAGTCCTTGTCCTGAGGTGGGTCAGCTGCTCAGCTTAAGAAATAGGTCTCTTTTAAACTTCACCATCTACCTGGAACTTTATACAAAATGTAATATTCACATACTAGTTGTTTTTTTTGTAATATAGTCACCTATGTAACCTCATGCTTTTTACTTATATGGTTTCTATGCAGCACAAAAAAAGCTATATTAAAGATATTGTTCACATTTTTTAATTTGAATTCCCAATTTAACAAAACCATTCAAATTAAAAAGGGAAGAAAATTTGAAAATTATCATCATTCAGGCCCATGGAAGCCCTGCACAGGAATGTTGCCCAGAAAGCTTAGTAAGAAATGAATTCAAGGGACATTAGATATTCTAAACCTTCCTTACTATAAAATGAAGTATCACACGTTAGGAGGTGAATAGGTAAACTTGTTTTGGAAACATGAACTAGGAAGGCTGAGTCCTGAGCTCAGAATAATTCATAACATCTGTACAAATTCATTGCAGCATACATAAATAACCACAGCATATTCCTCCTACTAAATACGCATGCAAAGGCCTGAAACCCTCTAAGAGCACACTAACGATTCCCTTTACCTTGTCTAGCCTGAAAAAAAGACAATTACATCAAAAATATTAAAACAGACCATCTTGAAATGAGTTTATTCTTGTCTGTAGTTATAAAAAGTTATCCCCAAATGGCCATGAGATTATCTGTAATCCTGTATCCTTACTTTGCTTTTGTTGGGGATATAAATAACTAGACATCTTTTGCTCTTGGTAGGGGCCTTCATGCTCCTTCTATTCAACTCCAGTAAGTTTCTTAGAATTTGAAATATTCTAGGAGACTCTTCAAAACAATGTTTTGGAAGAATGTCTCCCTAGAATAAGAACAAATGTATAATTTTACTCCATTTAAACCTAATCTGACAGAACAGTCATGCTCAGCGAATCCAAGAATAAGATCATGTCTACCCAGTGCCCTAACCTTGCTAGGGTATCCAGTGCCCCTACTGTCAGCAGAGGATCGAATCACAAACTTTCCTCCTTTCCTCACTTCTCAGGAAACCATCCACTCCCAGCAGCATTAAAACTGTTCTTGTAGCCTTGCCTGTGCTAAAGTGCTAGTACAAGGATGTTTGGGGGTGGGTTGGGGTGGGGAGAATCTGGGAAGAAGGCCAAGCTCTGTAGCTACTATGAACATAAGGAAGAAGTGCTTCTAACTGGCAAAAGACAGTGTCTGTTTCCTGCCAGGATTCTTCTGTCAGTCTACTCTAAAGGTGATTCTATAAACTCTCCCCAAGGAGCTGTTTCCGTCTGTACACACAAAAAGAGCTAAGGTCCTTGGAAGAACAGACAAGGCCATTTTTTTACATGGAGGTAAGGCTTAACATCGGTCTGGCAATGTGCTAGCTTGAAAATAGTCAACTATGGTGTGACTGAAGACAGGTTGAGTGGAGAAACTCTGCGAGTAGGAGTATTGTTAGCAGACAGTGACGCAGGTAGGAAAAAGGGTGCAGGCATCTCAGCGGAAGGAGTCTCTCCTTGGTTCCGAAGCTGCAGGATTTGCCGGAGCAAGGCCTTACCTTCTTCCCGGGTCTGAAACAAAGTCGGGCAACTATTTCAAAATATGTCCAAGGATATTCTCAAAAACAAGTTCTAAAATACTCATGTAAGTTGCACAAATCAAGGTAGCCTTCCCACTTACCTTCTTATCCACTTTCTACTCCCAGATCATGGTAAAGATTATATGTTTGAGCCCCAAATCCAAACTCTATTAAATAACTGATACTCACATCATTGAATGCACAACACTTTTGGGCACAAGTTGAAGCTTCATCCCACAGTTTGCACTTAAAATAGTACTGGGCCAGATAGCGGAAAGCTGTGCTCTCCTCCAAGTGTTCCACTATTTCCTAGATAAGGAAAGCAGAGATGACTAAGGTGGTAAGAATAATAAGATCAGCAACCCAGTCCTCCTGTCCAGGACACATACCCCACAGGTATAGATATCTTGGATATATTTGATGTAACATTGAGCAGCCTGTTCTGACTCAGTCAACTGTTCATGAAGCCTACAAAAGAAATTGGTCTTTAAGTACAAATCAGATCTCAAAGCCTAAATAATGATAAATAGTAACAGCCCATGATTTACACCAAAAAAATGACAACACATTGACAAGTACAAATTTTTACATAAATGGCACACTGGGACCCAGAACAGTATTAGTGCCCAGATGCGAGGTTTTGTCAAAGCTGAGAACAGTGATGGCGAACTCGGTGTGTCAGCATTTTGAAAAACCCTAACTTAATTCTGGTGCCGTGTCACATATAGGAATTTTTTGATATTTGCAACCATAGTAAAACAAAGATTTATATTTTTGATATTTATTTTACATATTTAAATGCCATTTAACAAAGAAAAATCAACCAAAAAAGTGAGTTCGCGTGTCATAGGTTCGCCATCACTGGCTTAGAATCATTACTCTGCTACTGGTAATGGAGAGAGTAAGATTTTTTAAAAAGATAACAAGTAATTCAGGTTTTTTCCTAATAAACCAGAAAAGAACTGGAATGAATAAAATTGTATTTAAGAACCTCTTTGCCTACTATTTCTGAGTTATTCCTTATTTTCTTAGTCCTTATTAGGAGATCAGTACTTAGTTTTCCTAGACTGCTCTGACATAAAAATTTCATTTCATTCCTTCCAATTCATTCTTGGTCCCTTGCCTAATAGGAAAGCAATTCCCTCTTTAAAGAGAAGTGTCATTCTCTCAAGTCAAATGGCTAAATTTTCAGATCAATATTCATACACGCTGCTACAGCCCACATTCATGTAGGATGATGGATAGAAGGCTCACCCACCATACCAGAGAAGCCAAAAGAAGTATCAATAGCGTTTTACTCCTTTCACTCACTTTGCAAGTTTCACCAGAGCCATTTTCTCCACATCTCCCACAGCGTAAGCTCGCCAATAACACTGTCAAAAAAATAAACTTGTCACTTTGACCATTGCCCAGGTGCCATGACTAATCACACAAAGGCTCAAGTCCTGCAAGCCTCCCAGAACTTCAGATTTGCAGGATGCAGGAATTTTTACTAAATCTTATAGGTCCAGGCTACATACTGACATTCCCACAGATGATGTCACCCAAGCTTTGCTTTTTACCCATTATGTACCTCTAAATATTCAGATTTCCACATGTAGAGACACTAGAATGAAGAGAAGTTACAGAGCACAGATAGCCCCACCCTTCCTCCAAGCAGGAGATTACCACTCAATTCTCAAGGGCTCAATCTCATATACCTTTTTGGCTTCCACAAGTTGATTGAGTTTCTCATAACATTCTCCTAAAGCAACCAGCATACGAGAGTCATTGGGCCTGAGAGAAAATAGTAGTAGTGTAAGCAAAGACTTATAGATAACTAAAGTCCACCACCACCACTACTGTAGTGATCCCCTTTATTCGAGGTTTCACTTTCCACAGTCAACTGCAATCTGAAAATATTACATGGACAATTCCAGAAATAAACAGTTCTTTTTTTAAAAAAAATATATTTTTATTGATTTTAGAGAGGAAGGGGGAAGGATAGAGAGAGAGAAACATCAATGATGAGAGAGAATCACCGATTGGCTGCCCCCCGACTGGGGATCAAGCCCGCAACCCAGGCATATGCCCTTGGCCAGAATTGAACCTGCGACCCTTCAGTCCGCAGGCCAACGCTCTATCCACTGAGCCAAACCGGATAGGGCTAAACAGTTCTTAAATTTTAAATTGCACACCATTCTGAGTAGCATGATGAAATCTCACACCATCTTGCTCCTTCCCATCCAGGACATGAATCATCCCTTTGGCCAGTATATCCACACTCTATACACTACCCGCCAGTTGGTCACTCAGTAGCCATCAAAAGAGAGAGAAAAGTGTCAGCACTCCCCAAAACAAACACATTGTCAAGTGGCCAGACTTACCGAAGCTGATGGGCCCGTCTATAATAATAAAGGCAGTAAAATGGCATCTTAAGGATTTCATAGGTCTGCCCAAGGCCATACCAGGCTCTGTAGTCCCGCTTATTTACCTCAATGGCATGTCTAAGAAATGGAAGATAGACTGGTAAGACAGCAGAATCTAAGTTAGCAACTTGCAGGCTCAAAAGAGGCTCCTAACATCACAGCAATCAGCTCTACCTAACCTCACAACTAGGAGCTCACCTGTAAGCCTGAATAGCAGCAGATGTGTTCTTCATTTCCATGTACTCATGTCCCATTAGTGTCCAGGCCCCAAGATACCGAGGATTCAATTTCAAGGCTCTTTGGAAATATAAGGCTGCTTTCTCATGCTGAGAACGCAAACTATAATAATTGCCTGATTGAAAAACAAACAAAAAATATGAACAATTAGAAAGATAAAAATAAAAGTTCACTGCCCTAGCTGGTTTTGTTCAGAGGACAGAGCATCAGCCCACAGACTAAAGGCTCCTGGGTTCGGTTCTGGATCACTGGCCCAGTCAGGGCCCCTGCGGCAGGCAACCAATCGATGTGCCTCTCTCACATCGATCTTTGTCTTTCACATCAATGTTTCTCTCTGTCTCTCCCTCTCCCTTCCACTCTCTCTAAAAATCAAAAGAAAAATATCCTCAGATGAGGATTAACAAAAATTAAATAAGAAATAAAAGTCCACTAAAATAGCATTCCACAGAGTGGACATGAAACCATAACTCATTCCCCCAAATTCCTTGTAGAACAGCCAAACTGTACATAAGGGAAATGTCATAGGTCCCTTGGGAAATATATATCATTTATCACACATTCTGGCTAAAAAAAAAAGTGTTCCCTAACATTGCGAGTTTTTCTTCATTTTATTTTATCTGGATATAGCATTTATCCACATATTTTCTTAAAGGGTAGGACATTTTTAGAGTAAGCTTTATATTTTGGTTTTCCAACTATATTGCTAGGATACCTCAAGGGTGAAAAAGGTAGAGCTCTGAGCTCCGCTCTCCCTCAGGAATCAAAGCAGTTATATTATCATTGGTCTTGAAAAAAGCAAGTCAGCCGAAACTGGTTTGGCTCAGTGGATAGAGCATCAGCCTACGGACTGAAGGGTCCCAGGTTCGATTCCGGTCAAGGGCATGTATGTACCTTGGTTGCGGGCACATCCCTAGTGGGGGGTGTGCGGGAGGCAGCTGACCGATGTTTCTCTCTCGTTGATGTTTCTCATCGATGTTTCTCTCTCATCGATGTTTCTGACTCTCTATCTCTCTCCCTTCCTCTCTGTAAAAAATCAATAACAAATTTATTAAAAATAAATAAATAAATAAAAAGGAAAAAGCAAGTCAGTCCTGGCTGGGTAGCTCAGTTGGTTAGAGCATCGTCCTGATACACCAAGGTTGTGTGTTTGATTCCCAGTCAGGGCAAATATAAGAATCACCAATGAATGCATAAATATGTGTAACAACAGATCAATGGCTTTCTCTCTGTGTCTCTCTCTCAAATCAAATCAATAAAATAAAATTTTTAAAAAACACCAAGTCAGCCTTGGTCAGTGTGGCTCATTTGATTGAAAGATTGTGAGTTCAATACACGGTCAGGGCACATATCCAGATTGCCGGTTCAATCCCCAATAGGGATGCATTCGATCATTTCTCTCTCTGCTCACCCCCTTCCTTTCTTTCTAACATCAATAAACACATATTCAGATGACAATAAAAAATAAAATAAAAGAAGAAAGAAACAGCATGGTATTGGCAGAAAAACAGACACACAGACCAATGGAACAGAATTGAGAGCCCAGAAATAAAAAACACATGTACATGGGCAATTAATGTTTGACAAAGAAGCCATAAACATACAATGGAGGAAAGAAAGCTTCCTCAATAAATGGTGCAGGGAAAACTGGAAAGCCACATGCAAAAGAATGAAACTAGATTACAGTTTGTCCCCATGTACAAACATTAATTAAAAATGAATCAAAGACATAAACATAAGCTCTGAAACAATAAATTACATAAAAGAAAACTTGGGCAGTCAGTCGGGTTCCAGAGTCCAAACCTTAACTTTGCTTTCCAGAGTCCAAACTCTTCCTTTGCAGGAAAGATGCAGAAGGAAGCAATCAATTCACATCAAGACATAAAAGCAGAAGCAATGACTAAACAACTAGGAGATTCCTGTCATCACTATATTCTTAAGTTGTTGCATTCTCTTTAGGTCTTTAGTTTCTTTTCTCTCCATCCTTCTTTCTCCTTTCACTTCCTCTGATTTTGCAATAATATGAAAGCTGAAGCATGTTCGTCATATCTAATGTTACTTATTCTTAAATATTAATGTAGGCGGACTGAATTCAACAAACATTTATTGATCATCTCTCAGGAACTTTGCTGGACATTACAGATATACTGAGAGAGGAAGAAAACGTTCATCCTAGCTGGTTTGGCTCAATGGATAGAACGTTGGCCTGTGGACTGAAAGGTCCCAGGTTCGATTCTGGTCAAGGGCATGTACCTTGGTTGTGGGCACATCCCCAGTAGGGAGTGTGCAGGAGGCAGCTGAATTGATGTTTCTCTCTCATCAATGTTTATAACTCTATCCCTCTCTCTTCCTCTCTGTAAAAAATCAGTAAAAAAATTTAAGTTAGATTTAAAAAAAAAAAAGGCAGTTAGCAATCTGGTTACCCAGTCACCAATTCCTGCTTGTTCTACTTCCTAAATATCTTCTAAATCCTCTCTCCACCCCTCCCGCCAATATCTCCTCATCATGTTTTCATCATCCTGGATTATTGCAAAAGCCTCCTGGCTGGTCTCCCTGCACCTAGTCTTGCCCTTTTTCTAATCCTCTGAGCACAGTCTCCAGTCATCATTTGAAAAAGAATATCTGAACACTTTTATCACTCTGGCTTAAAATCCTTCAGAAGACTCCCACTGCCTTAAGAATAAAATCCAAACTTTTAGCAAAACAAAAAAGGCTCTTCAAGATCTGGCCCTTTTTTTACATTCCCACCTCCCACACCATGCTTCAGGATGCTGAACTATTTCCAGCATAATGTCTGTTTCACACTTCAATGCCTCTGCACTGCAATGCCCTTCCCAAGTCAATCCTTCTCCCCTACTGAACTCTTTCACTCCTGCCTATTCTTCAAGCATCACCTTCCCTAATCTCAGACTCAATTAGATGCCTTTCCTATGTACTCTTTCTTTTTAAATAAATTTTTCTTGATTTCAGAGAGAGGAAGGGAGAGAAAGAATATCAATGATGAAAGAGAATTATCGATCAGCTGCCTTCTGCATACACCCTTACCGGGTATTGAACCTGCAACTCCCAGGGAATGTGCCCTGAATGGGAAATGAACCGTGACGGAGCTCAACCACTGCACCACACTGGCCAGGCCCTATGTTTACCTCAACCATAACACTCAGCCCATTGTTTTATAGCTGTTTTCTTATTGGACTTCCTAAATAGGCAATTAGGGTAGGTAATGCAATACAAAGCACAGTGCCTGGCACTCCGAGTAGAAGATGCTTGAAGATGTTTCCTGAATAAATTGAAGTTCCATCCTCACCTTAATGGGCTTTATATTTATACTTTATTCATAATGTTCTATACTGAAAGGATCATTCGTTCCTACTCTTACCTATGTTCCCATAGGACTTATTACATACTTTTAATGCTTATCTCCCAAGCTAGACTACAACTTCCTCAAGGGCTGGAAATATTCACTGAATAACTGATGAATTGAAATTCTCTCAGCCCTAACCGGTTTGGCTCAGTGGAAATTCTCTCAGTTTATTAACACATCCTGATCTAGAAAGGTACAAATGCATGATCTTGATGCAGTGTCACCAAAGACCCAGAGACAGGTATGGCCCTTTCATCTCCAGGGAACTTAGACTTTCAACCACAACCAATCAAGCTTACTTTTATCCAGGAGTGGCCATTCATCTGTTTATGTCAGCTGATTATCAGGCCACACTAGTATGGCCAAGTACATAGGACAGTGATGGCGAACCTATGACACGCATGTCAGAGGTGACACGCGAACTCATTTTTTTGGTTGATTTTTCTTTGTTAAATGGCATTTAAATAGCCCTAACCAGTTTGGCTCAGTGGATAGAGCGTCGGCCTGCGGACTCAGGGTCCCAGGTTCGATTCTGGTCGGAGGGTGTGCCTTGGTTGCGGGCACATCGCGGGGGGGTGGGGCGGGATTGGACATAGCTGATTGGGCGCCTACATCCTGCCCGTGTAGGAGCTCAGGAAATATTGAACTGGACTGACTGGTCATCAAAGAGGAAATGTACTTATTGAGAAAAATTCTTTCTTAAAAAGATTTTTGTTGATTTCAGAGAGGAAGGGAGCGGGGGAGATAGAAACATCAATAAATAATGAGAATCACTGATGGGCTGCCTCCTGCACGCTTCCTACTAGGGATTGAGCCTGCAACCCCAGGCATATGCCCTTGACCAGAATCAGACTGGGGACCCTTCAGTCCGCAGACCTATGCTGTATCCACTGTGCCAAACTGAGTAGGGCACCTGTAAATACTTTTTATCGGCACAACTAGGAGGAGGGAGCAGTGGTAGAGGCTAAGGATACTGCTAATACCCTACAATGCATAGGACAGCCCTCCACAAAAATATTGTTAACCCCAAAGTGTCATTAATGCCAAGATTGAGACACCCCAATACAGAGAAACAGGTACTCTCATCTCTTTTCATAGGATTGGAAATTCTTACAAATTTTTCTTTTTAAGAGAAGGCGAGAGAGAGAGAACATCCATCAGTTGCCTCCTGCATACACACAACTAGGGTTAAAGCCCACAACCGGGGCATGTGCCCTGACTGGGAATCTAACCAGCAACCTCTTTTTTTTTCTTTTTTTTAAAATATATTTTATTGATTTTTTACAGAGAGGAAGAGAGAGGGATAGAGAGTTAGAAACATTGATGAGAGAGAAACATCAATTAGCTGCCTCCTGCAAACCCCGCACTGGGGATGTGCCTGCAACCAAGGTACATGCCCTTGACTGGAATCGAACCCGGGACCCTTCAGTCCGCAGGCCGATGCTCTATCCACTGAGCCAAACCAGTTAGGCCAACCAGCAACCTCTTGATGCACAGGATGACACCCAACCAACTGAGCCACACCAGCTAAGGCCTTACAAACTTTTTAGTAGTACTGAAGTTTAAAATATATATATACACTTTTGATCCAGTCTTTTACTGCTTATTATATAGAAATAATTGCATTAACATGCAAAAATAAATGTACACATACAAAAATGTTTCCTGAAGCAATTTTTATATTAAGTAAAATGATGGCACATCTATATAATAAAATATTAGATCAAAAAAAAATACTAGATCACCATCAAAAATAGTAAAAATCTAGATGTACTACAATAAAAAAAGAAAAAGATATATTAAGTTTAAAAAAAGGAAGTTACAAAGCAGTGTGTATAATGATATAGTTTTTACAAACAAACTGTACACACACACTTGCACACACACATTTTTTGTATTCACACAGAAAAATATTCTGGAGTCATGTTCTCTAAACAATCTTGGGGATGGGGTTATAGTGAGCTTTCACATTCTACTGTATATAATTTTGTTATCTTTGACACTTTTATACTGTTGTTATTTTTATACTTGTATTATTTACAATAAAGGTAAATCTTAAAAGAAAAAGAATAATAATTCTTACCAATTACACAGCAAGTTTCTACACGATATTTATCAATCTCACAGAGGTTGTGAGCCAGATAACTCAACTCAGATTTCATGCTCTGAAAGAAAAGAAAAGACAGTCTTAGCATGAAAAATGAACCTCTTAAATTATTTTTCTTGTAGTTAATGCAACTGGGTGACAATCCAACACAGATGAAAGCACAAAAGAGCTTAATCAAGTCCAAGTAAAGGAAGCAGCTCACCCTGACATAAAGAAGGTTGGAGAATGTATCCATATTCTCAATCCTATAAGGGTCTTGTTTCCTTAGCTCATTAAAAATAGAGAGGGCTTTATCAATATCTGCAGAAAGAATATAGTTCAGAAAACAACACAGTGATACTTTCAGGTTTTGAAGAATTTCATTGCCCTTGTTCACTTACCTCTGATATTGTGATAGGCAACTGCAATTTGGGAAACAATATAAGAGCTCTTAGAAAAGCCCACATCAATGAGATTCTGATACTTTTGCAGGGCCTCCTCTATCAACTGCAATTCTGTGTATATATGAGCCAGAAAAAACTCTTTCATCCAGGTGTCTGGCAAAGACAGGAACTTCAGCTGGCAGCAAGAGAGAGAGGAACACACTTAATATATTTTGACCTCTCCCAAAAGAACTATTTTTATTGTCTAAAGCAGCGATTTTCAACTAGTGTGCCACAAGAGGCACAGTGTTGTGCCAAAAGAATTTTTAAAACGTGCAATACCTGACTATTTAGTCAGGGGCACTGGCCCCTTTTCCCTTAGACTGTCAAATAAAAAAAGTAACAAGAGTTAACACAACAGTACCCGCCTGGTATGAATGACCCAAAATTATATCTTTTTTTTTTTTGTCAGATAGACAAAAATTGTATTTTTTAGTGTGCCACAGAATTTTAGTAATTGGTTTGTGTGCCATGAGATGAAAAAGCTTGAAAATCACTTGTTGAAAGGTGTTTATCATGGGAAATCTTATTACAGCACCTAATAATGGACACAGGGCATTTCAAGTGTAATAGGATTACCAGCACAATGGGGAGGAAAGGCCCCGTTCGGGAAGGCTTCAAACAACAAATAGGATTTGAGGTGTCTTGGAGGATGGGTAGATTTGAATAGAAAAAAGGGGAGAGGAAGAGAAAAAAAAGTGAACATTCTAGGCAAGGACAACATAAAAAAAAGAAAAACAGTTATGATGAATGTGGGTGAAGAGGGTGATGAAACTAGGTTGTTTGAAGGGAAGCTTTGTGCTGGGACGCAGTGGAAAAATAAGACTGAAATAGCAGGGTGGTTCCTATAGTGCAATAGGAAATGGTATGCAATAGGAAACCACTGAATTTTTATGCAAGAGAATCATGATGACACGGGTGTTTTGAGAATAAATTTGGAAACCGTATGCCAAAGGGCTTGGAAAAAGAAGTGTAAAGATGGGAAAGCTAGATAGAAAGTATATATTACTTATAAGAAATCCAAATTGGAAATAAACAAGATGGCAAATGAAGCCAAAAACAAGAGATGGGTACAAAAAGAAACCATGGCATGTCTAGTGGCTGAATAGATAAAGGAGATAAGAGAAAGGGAAGAGGAAATATGATTCCGAGGCATTAAGACTGGGTGTCTTGAGAAATAGTGATGCTAATGAGAATCTATCAAGTGAGAGAAAGAGCCTGGCCTGTGGTTGAATGTCAACCTATGAACCAGGAGGTCATGGTTTGATTCCCAGTCAGGGCACAAACCTGGGTTGCAGGCTCAATCCCCAGTAGGGGGTGTGCAGGAGGCAGCTGATCAATGGTTCTCTCTTATCATTGATGTTTCTATCTCTCTCCCTCTCCCTTCCTCTCTGAAATTAATAAAAATATATTTTTAAAAAATAGAAAAAACTAATATTAAAAAAAAATGTTGGGAGAGAGAATTTGGTAGGTAAGATGAAAAAACTACTTTTGTGTATTATGAATTCAGAGATAAAACAAACTTTCAATGAAAGTCTAGTAGGCAGTTAGATAGGTGAATATAAGTAAACAAAGGTTTCAGATATATGCTACAGACTTAGTAGCATATATCATTATTAGCAGAAACCAACCAGACTTTGGCTCCTCAGAGCAAACAAAAAGAAATGTGTTATCATTTCCATTAACTACTGAAGAACAGCAAATAAACTGTATAGACAGTATACTCTAATAATGACTAGTAAAATGATTGCAGTTTATAAAGCAGTTTCATATACATTTCCTTAATTAACAAATCTCTGTATCTTCTCAGAGTCCTATGAGCTCAACAGAGACTTAAAATGTTTTAAATATGACCCCTTTTAAAATATCTATTTTTAATTGATTTCAGAGGGGAAGAGAAAGGGAGAGAGAGATAAAAACATCAATGATGAGAGAGAATCACCGAGGGGTCCCAGATTGCAAGAGGGTGCAAGCTAGGCCGAGGGACCACCCCCCCGCCACACACGAACTTTGTGCACCAGGTCTCTAGTCTACACTAATAAAAGAGAAAAATGGTAATTGGCGTATGACGCTACCCTTTTCATTGGCTAATCAGGGCTATATGCAAATTAACTGCCAACTCAGATGGCAGTTGAATGCCACAAAGATGGAGGTTAATTTGCATATGTAGGCACAATGCAGGGAGGCGAAAGGGAAAGCAGGAAGAAGCCCCCTGCCACTGATTGGAAACCCGGGGGGAGCTAAGATCGGAGAATCAGGCGCCTTTGCCGCCCTGGCCAGTGTTAGCAGGAAGTAGGCGTGGAGCCAGCGATGGGAGCTGGGCAGGGTCAAAGCTGGCAGTCCCAGGAGCTAGGGGTCCCTTGCCTGGGCATAAAACCCACAAT